GAGCCACCGCGCCCGGCCTATTTTTATTTTGAGAAGGAGTTTTGCTCTTGTTACCCAGGCTGGAGTGCAATGGCGTGATCTCTGCTGACTGCAACCTCTGCCTCCCAGGTTCAAGCAATTGTCCTGCCTCAGCTTCCCAAGTAGCTAGGATTACAGGCACGTGCCATCACATCCAGCTAATTTTTGTATTTTTAGTAGAAACAGGGTTTCACCAGGTTGGCCATGCAGGTCTGGAACTCCTGACCTTAGGTGACCCGCCCACCTCCGCCTCCCAAAGTGCTGGGATTACAGGCATGAATGACTTTGCCTGGCCTACTAAATTTGAGTATTTGATTTGGAATTCTTCAAATGGTTCCTCCCTGCATGGTAATTTAAAATGCTGATCCATGTTGCAGTAGTGATTGAGAGTAAAAAGGTTAAGATAACACAAGACACATTTCATGGCTGGAGTTAGAGAAGACATAAAAAGAAATCATGAACAGGCTGTGAGGCTGAAAATTAGAAATTTGGAGAGATATAAAATAATCTTTTATTTTACTGTTTTTTTTTTGAAGTGGTCTCCCCTGCCGCCCAGGCTGAAGTGCAGTGGCTCGATCTCGACTAACTCAACCTCCACCTCCCGGGCTCCAGCGATTCTCCTACCTCAGCCTCCTGAGTAGCCAGGATTACAGGCATGTGCCACCATGCCCGACTAATTTCTGTTTTTGGTAGGGACAGGGTTTCACCTCGAACTCCTGACCTCGTGATCCACCTTGGCCTCCCAAAGTGCTGGGATTATAGGTGTGAGCCACCGCAACCGTCACTTATTTTTATTTATTTATTTATTTTTGAGACAGAGTCTCGCTCTGTTGCCCAAACTGGAGTTCAGTGGCATGATCTCGGCTCACTGCAACCTCCACTTCCCGGTTCAAGTGATTGTCCCACCTCAGCCTCCCAAGTAGCTGGGACTACAGGCATGTACTACTACACCCAGCTAATTTTGCATTTTTATTAGAGATGGCGTTTCTCCATGTTGGCCAGGCTGGTCTCAAACTGTCGAGTTCAGGTGATCCACCTGCCTTGGCTTCCCAACTGGGATTACAGGCAGGAGCCACCATACCCGGCCAATTTTTGTATTTTTAATAGAGACGGGGTTTTACCATATTGGCCAGGCTGGTCTCAAACTCCTGACCTTGTGATCCACCCGCCTTGGCCTCCCAAAGTGCTGGGATTACAGGTGTGAACCACCACGCCAGGCCTTATTTTTATTTTTTGAGACAGAGTCCTGCTCCGTCACCCAGGCTAGAGTGCAGTGGTGTGATCTTGGTTCACTACAACCTCTGCCTCCCAGGTTCAAACGATTCCCCTGCCTCAGACTCCCGAGGAGCTGGGATTATAAGCATGCACCACCATGCTCTGCTAATTTTTGTATTTTTAGTAAGAGATGGGGTTTCGCCCTATTGGCCAGGATGGTGTCGCACTTCTGACCTCAGGTGATCTGCCCCCCTGGCCTCCCACAATGCTGTGATTACAGGCATGAGCCACCAAGGCATTAGCCTAAACTAACCTTTTAAAGAGATCTAATCTTCCATCTCATTTTTGTGCTTAGACTTTTGAAATCTTTTCATTCAAGAAATCCAGAAGCCCTGATGAAAAAAAACGATGATATGCTTTTATTTTATTTTATTTTTTCTTGTTAAAAAATACAACATTGGTCATCGTTTTCATTAAACAGACCTTTGTGATTTTACTGATTTATATGAGCAGTGCTAAATTACATGATTTATAAGGCTTGACACAGGAAGAATGCATTGAGGTATATGGGAAGAAAAGGGATAAGAATACAAGAGAAATGTTAAATCAATGACTAAGGCACACATTTCGGATGTGAATCAAATCTACCGCTGTGGCTAGAACAACCTATATGCACATTGATTCCGGAAGACATGATCCATTGCTGGTAAAAGTAGAGAGGGCTGGGCTTGTGCAGTCCCCTGGTACTCCCCGCACCACTGCAGAGAAGAAGCGTCACGACACAAGAACAGTAGGCGGTAGAGGCTTCCAGCACTGAGTCTGGTGAAGCCATACATGGTTTGCTGTTTACTTCAGCTTCCAGAATTCGCTTTCATTTCACAGTGAGAAAGTCAGCTGGTGATCTCTAAGAAATCCCCAAGCACCTGGTGTTGGGAAGGCCCCTCTGTTAAAGAAATATTCTTTATTCCTTTATTATTATCTTTTGAGACAGAGCCTTGCTCTGTCACACAGGCTGGACTGCAGTGGCGGGATCTCAGCTCACTGCAACCTTCGCCTCCCAGGTTCAAGCCATTCTCCTGCCTCAGGCTCCCAAGTAGCTGGGATTACAGGCATGCACCACCACGCCCAGCTAATTTATATCTTTTTGGTAGAGACGGAGTTTCACTATGTTGGCCAGGTTGGTCTCAAACTCCTAACCTCAAATGATCCACCCGCCCTTGGTCTCCCGAAGTGCTGGGATTGCAAGAGTGAGCCACGGCATCAAGCCAGGAAGTGTTCCTTAAACACCACAAATAAACATACTGCAGCAGAGACTTGTAGAGGCAATTCTGATTAACCAAGGGCTGAAATCCCCATCTCAGACTACCCAAGTCAATTAAAAATAGTAAGATATCACTGCAAGAACAATTCAAAAGAAGAAAAGTTTATGGTAAAATAGGCACAAGTCAATTTCATTATAACTAAAACTCCTTAATTTAAAAATATAGTACTAGAAGATCATCCACCCAGAGACTTGTATTTAATAGGACCGAGAATTGCTAGTGTTGGGGGAGATACTTTATACAGTGGCTGGAAAGCAGCAGCAGAGATTACATAAAATGAAAATAGTAGTACTGCCACAGGACTTTTAAAAAGGAGAGGGAAAATTAATGAAAGTGACATGCATCAAACAAACCAAGAGGCAGTGCTGAAGTCACCTCCACGGAGCTGTAAACTCAGAAGGGTTTCCTGGTCATATGTGGTAAATTAGGATCAAGTCTGAAATAATCTAGATAATGACCTAGTTTTCCAGCTCACTCAGAGCTAACCAATCTATAACACTATCATACTTTTCTTTATATTTTCTGAGACGGAGTCTTGCTCTGTCGCCCAGGCTGGAGTGCACTGGCACCATCTCGGCTCACTGCAACCTCCGCCTCCCAGGTTCAAGCACTTCTCCTGCCTCAGCCTCTCAAGTAGCTGGGACTACAGGTGCACACCACCATACCCAGCTAATTTTTGTATTTTTATTAGAAACAGGGTTTCACCATGTTGGCCAGGCTGGTCTTGAATTTCTGACCTCAGGTGATCCACCCACCTCAGCCTCCCAAAGTGCTGGGACTGCAGGTGTGAGCCACCGTGCCTGGCCACCCCACTTTTTTTGTTGTTATTGTTTTGGCTTTTTTCTATTTCTGCTATTACACTTTCAAGGATAAATTTGCTGGTTGCATTCATGTTTTCATAACCAGTTCCCTGGTTGTTACACCTATTTCAGATTAAATCACGTATATCAATTCCAACATCTTATAGGAGTATAGTCTTTTCATGTTACCCAACAGAGCGGGAGAGAGCTGAGGAAGGAGGCCTCTCTTTTAATGGCCATTTTTTTTTTTTTTTTGAGACAGAGTCTTGCTCTGTCACCCACGTTGGAGTGCAATGGCATGATCTCAGCTCACTGCAATCTCCGCCTCCCAGGATCAAGTGATTCTCCTGCCTCAGCCTCCTGAGAAGCTGGGATCATGGGCACCTGCCACCACACCTGGCTATTTATTATATTTTTAGTAGAGACGGGGTTTCACCGTGTTGGCCATGCTGGTCTCGAACTCCTGACCTCAGGTGAGCCACCCGCCTCAGACTCCCAAAGTGTTGGAATTACAGGCCGGAGCCACTGCATCTGGCCTTAATAGCAGTTTTCTTAAAGACAAATAGTGTTTCTTCAAAAGTCATCATCAAGCAAAGGTCTTGGCGAGGATCTCTTCATGCTGCTGCAAGTGAACTGTGCCAATTCCTACAGCGGGTACTGGCAAAGGGGGCCGGCCCACCAGATGGAGCTACAGGTGCAGCAGAGAAGAAATAAAACAACATTTTGACCAGATCAGAGCTCTGCTTAGATCCACCAAAACAGTGCATGTATTTCTCTTAGCTTGTTTAACCATAAATCACCTCTTTCAAATAATGAGTTACACAGAATAGATTAAAGGGACAGGGCTCTGTGGCTCAATGCCTGTCACCACAGTGCTTTGGGAGGCCAACATAGGCATATCACTTGAGGCCAGGAGTTCGAGACCAGCTGGCCAGCACGGAAAAACCTCGTCTCTACAAAAAATACAAAAATTAGCCAGGTGTGGTGGTGTGCGCCTGTAATCCCAGCTACTCAGGAGGTGGAGACACAAGAATCACCTGAAGCCCAGAAGCAGAGGTTGCAGTGAGCTGAGATTGTGCCACTGCACTCCAGCCTAAGCAACAGAGCCAGACTTTGTCTCAAAAAAAAAAAAAAAAAAAAAAATAGATTGGAGGGAAATACGTCACCACTAACAACCAATGGAATGCCACGCAAGATAAGACGTGTTCTTGAATTTGTCCTATTCTTTTTTTTTGAGACAGAATCTTGCTCTGTCGCCAGGCTGGAGTTCACTGGCTCTATCATGGCTCACTGCAACCTCTGCCACCTGGGTTCAAGTGATTCCCCTGCCTCAAACTCCTGAGTAGCTGGGACTAGAGGCGCGTGCTACCACACCTGGCTAATTTTTGGCATTTTAGTAGAGACGGGGTTTCCCCATGTTGGCCAGGATGGTATCAATCTCCTGACCTCGTGATCCACCCAACTTTGGCCTCCCAAAGTGCTCAGATTACAGGCCTGAGCCACTGTGCCCAGCCATAATTTGTCCTATTCTCAAGTAACTATTAGTTGATTCTAACTGTAGAGTTTATTTAATGAGAACTATTTACAAGAAAAATGATTTGAGCCTAGCAAACTGGTATCAAATGAGTGAACTGAGTTCTAATCTAAGCAGAATAGAAATACATACACAAGTATAATTGGTTTTCACTTTCTAAAGAACAATCTAGCCTCCTAAATGACAAGGTAGATAGAACAGGTCTTGTTTGCAAAATAAATTCAAGACCTACTTACCTACTAACAGAATTTTTTAAAAAATCAAGAAGTATAACAGTGTTTTTTTTTTTTTTTTTTTGAGACAGGGTCTTGCTGTGTTGCTCAGGCTGGTCTTGAACTCCTGGGCTCAAATGATCCTCCTGCCTTGGCCTCCCAAAGTACTGAGATTACAGGCATGAGCGACTATGCCCAGGCAAGAAGTATACCAGCTTTGATGTGCAGAAGCCCAGCTGTGCAGATGGATGGTATGATATCAATCTGTGTTCCCACTAAATCTCACGTGGAATTGTAATCCCTAATGTTAGAGGTAGGGCCTGCTAGGAGGTAATTGGATCATGGGGGTGGGTTTCTCATAAATGTCTTAGCATCATCCCCTTGGTACTGTCCTTGTGATCGTGAGTGAGTTCTCATGAGCTCTGGTCATTTAAAAGTATGTGGCACCACTTTCCAACCCTCCCTTGCTCCTGCTTTCACCATGTAACCCGCCTGCTCCCCGCTTGCCTTCTGCCATGATTGGAAGCTTCCTGAAGCCTCCCCAGAAAAAGAAGATGCCATGCTTCCTATACAGCCTGCAGAACTGTGAGCCCAATAAACCTCTTTTCTTAGAAATTACTCAGTCTTAGGTTTTTTTTCTTTTTTTTTTTTTTGAGATAGAGTATCACTCTGTCACCCAGGCTGAAGTGCAGTGGCGTGATCTCAGTTCATAGCAAACTCCACCTGATGGGTTCAAGGGATTCTCCTGCCTCAGCCTCTGGAGTAGTTGGGATTATGGGCACCCAACACCACACCTGCCTAAATTTTGTACTTTTAGTAGAGAGGGATTTTACCACATGGGCTAGGCTGGTCTCAAACTCCTGACCTCAGGTGATCCACCTACCTCGGCCTCCCAAAGTGCTGGGATTACAGGCATGAGCCACCGCACCAGCCTCAGGTATTTCTTTACAGCAATGTGGGAACAACTAATACAATGGGCTTGGAATGAGCATTATTGGGTGTATCCAGTCCCATACCGTAAAACAAGTCTGCTCTTCCTCCGGCTTGACCAAGGCTTAGGTAAGACATGCTGAGGTAGTGGGATGGAGAGCCAAAAGGTAAGGGCTTTTACTTTTTTGAGTGTAACCACTTTTTTTTTTTTGAGACAAAGTCTCACTCTGTTTTCAGGATGAGTGCAGTGGTGTAATCTCTGCTCACTGCAACCTCTGCCTCCGAGGTTCAAGCAATTCTGCTGCCTCAGCCTCCTGAGTAGCTGGGACTACAGTTGCATACCACCAGGCCCAGCTAATTTGTATATTTCTAGTAGAGATGGGGTTTCACCATATTGGCCAAAATGGTATCCATACCCTTACCTTGGGATACACATGCTTGGCCTCCCAAAGTGCTGGGATTACAGGCATAAGCCACCATGCCCAGCCGAGTATAACCACTTTTTTTTTTTTTTTTTTTTGCTTTGAGACAGAGTTTCGCTCTTGTTACCCAGGCTGGAGTGCAATGGTGCAATATCGACTCACTGCGACCTCCGCCTCCTGGGTTCAAGCAATTCTCCTGCCTCAGCCTCCCGAGTAGCTGGGACTACAGGCGCATGCCACTATGCCCGGCTAATTTTTGTATTTTTAGTAGAGACGGAGTTTCACCATGTTGACCAGGATGGTCTCGATCTCTTGACCTCGTGATCCACCCGCCTCGGCCTCCCAAAGTGCTGGGATTATAGGCGTGAGCCACCGCGCCCGGCCAACCACTTTTTTAAACGTGATTTTAATATGTTGATGACCAAAATGTTGCTATGCAACAAAACAAGACCAGAAACGTGTAGGCCGTGCACGGTGGCTCGCATCTACCCTCCCAGCACTCCGGGAGGCCCAGGTGGGCAAGTCACCTGAGGTCAGGAGTTTGAGACCAGCCTGGCCAACATGGTGAAACCCAGTCTCTACAAAAATATAAAAAATTAGCCAGGCATGATGGCGGCTGCCTGTAATCCCAGCTACTGGGGAGGCTGAGGCAGGGGAATCGATTGAACTCGGGAGGTAGAGTTTGCAGGGGGCTGAGATCATGCCATTGCACTCCAGCTTGGGTGACAAAGCAAGACTCTGTCTCAGAAAAGAAAAAAAAAGAAAGAAAGAAACATGTGCATATATATATATATATATATATATATACGGCTCCATAAACAGTCTACATTTTCTTCTGCAGGAACAGCCTAAAACTAGATTTTATATTTTGGTTTTTCTTTAAATAATTGAACTGGTAATTGGGAATAAACCCATTTGTTGACACTCCAAGAAAAACATGTACACAAAACACTCCCAGAGGAAAAGTGTGATTACCTTGCAGGCCAGCTGCTTTTCAAACCTTGGAGAAACAAAAGACCATGGACCCATATTCTGAGGTTCCTCCTGACTCCAAATATGATCTATGAGAGAAGAAATTCATTTCAGCACCTCAGGTAGACACATGCAGACGGTCTCCAATTTACTATGATTCCACCTACGATGCATTTTTTCAACTTTAAAATGGTGTGAAAGCAGTTCACATTCACTAGAAACTGTACTTCAGGTACCCATACAACAATTCTGTTTTTCACTTTCAGTACAATAAATCTGATAAATTTGAGATATCTAATACTTCACTATAAAATGTAATAAATTTTGTGTTAAATTATTACGCCTAACTAAGCTAATGTGAGTGTTCTGAGCATGTTTAAGGCAGGCTAGGCTAAGCTGTGATTGGTAGGTTAGGTGTAGTCACTGCATTCTTTTTTTATTGTAAGTTCAGGGATACGTGTGCCGGATGCGCAGGTCTGCTACCTAGGTGAACGTATGCCACGGTGGTCTGCTGCACAGATCACCCCATCACCTAGCCATCAAGCCCAGCATCCATTCACTATTCTTCCCGATGCTCTCCTTCCTCCACCGCGACCCTCGGACAGGCCCCACTGTGTGATGTTCTCTCCTTGTATCCATGTGTTCTCATCATTCAGCTCCCACTTATAAGTGAGAACATGCAGTATTTGATTTTCTGATCCTGCATTAGTTTGTGAAGGATAATGGCCTCCATCTCCATCCCTGTCCCTGCAAAAGACATGATCTCATTCCTTTTTATGGCTGCATAGTATTCCCTAGTGTATATGTACCACATTTTCTTTTCTTTTCTTTGAGACAGAGTCTGGCTCTGTCATCCAGGCTGGAGTGGAGTGGCACAGTCTCAGCTTGCTGCAACATCCGTCTCTCAGGTTCAAGCAATTCTCCTGCCTCAGCCTCCAAGCAGCTGGAACTACAGGTGTGCACCACCATGCTTGGCTAATATTTGTACTTTTAGTAGACATGGGGTTTCACACGTTGGTGAGTCTCAAACTCCCGACCTCAGGTGATCCACCTGCCTTAGCCTCCCAAAGTGTTGGGATTACAGGTGTGAGCCACTGCACCCAGCCTGTATTTTCAACCTAAGAGTATTTTCAACTTACGATGCATTTATTGGGATGTAGCCTCATCATAAGCTAAGGAGCATCCGTCCACCAAAAAAGGAAGGGAAATATATAGAGATAAGCTTAGAGAGATTTCTCTCTATAAACTCACTTAAATATATGCTTTTCCAACATGGCAGAGCGTTACTTGTCTCTTTTTTTCCTGGCAAATACAGTTATGTATCCACCACTTCAAACATGATAGAGAGCAGTTCTGTCCACCCCACCCCCAGAATTTCCTCAGCCTGACCTTTCGTAGTCGACTCCAGCTCCCATCCCCACCACTGAACATGATTGATCTTTTCTCTATCCCTACAGTTTTTTCTTTTCCATAATGTTATATCAGTGAAGTCATGCAGTCTGCAGGGTCTGGCCCCTGGAGCTGTAAGATGCTTTTGTGAATGACTCATGCGGTTGTGCACAGCAACGGTTCACTCCTTTCTATTGCTGAGGAGCACATTATATGGATGTGCTACTAATTGTTTATTCATGCAATGGTTGAAGGACGTTTTGGCTCTTTCTGGTTTGGGCCAATTGTGAATAAAGCAGCTATAAACACTTACCAACAGATTTTTCTGTAAACCTCTTTAATATTATTTTTTGAGACAAAGTCTCATTTTGTCACCCAGGCTGGAGTGCAGTGGCATCATCACAGCTCACTGTAGCCTCAACCTCCTGGGCTCAAGTGATCCTCCCACCACAGCCTCCCAAATAGCTGGGACTACTGGTGCATGCCAGCACACGTGGCTAATTTTTCTTTTTCTTTTTCTTTTTTTTTTTTTTTGTAGAAAAGAGATTTTGCCAAGTGGCCCAGGCTGGTCTTGAACTCCTGAGCTCAAGTGATCCACCTGCCTCAGCCCCCCAAAGTGCTGGCACAGGCATGAGCCACTGTGCTTGGGCTATTTTTCTTTTGTAATTAAAAAAATGTCTTTGAGAGAATGGGTCTCACTCTGTCACCCAGGCTGGAGTTCAGTGGTATGATCATGGCTCACTGCAGTCTTGAACTGCTGGGCTAAAGCAATCTTCCCACCTCAACCTCTTGAGTAGGCTAGCACTATAGGCACGGGCTACCATGCCTGTCTAATTTCTTTTATTTTTCTGTGGAGACAGGGTCTTGCTATGCTGCTCCGGCTGATCTCCAACTCCTAGCCTCAAGTGAAACTTCGGCCTGGACCTCCCAAAGTGCTAGGACTATAAACGTAAGTCACTGTGCCTGGCCTGTGAATGCATTTTCATTCATCTTGCATAAATACCTATGAGTGAGATTGCTGGGCCATATGGTAATTCGGGGTTTAACTTTCTAAGAAGCTTAAGGTTTTTCCAAGGTGGCTGCACCGGCTTGCATCCACCAGGAGCGAATGAAGGTTCCAGTGGCTCTGCTCCTCATCAACACTGAATAGCAGGAGTCTGTGTTTTGTTTTAGTTTTAACCATTCTAATAGGTGAGTGGTCATCGCTCATTTTGGATTAATTTTCATTTCTCTTAACATGAGTAATACTGAGCATCTTTACAAGTGCTTATTTGCCATCCAGTTCTTTGGAGAAGTGCCTACTCAAAGCTTTTGCACATTCTG